CATTTGTTGATAAAAGATATTTTTCAATAAAATGTCAAAAATAATAAATGGGAAAGTCTTCCCACTGTCTCTATTAAGTAACATTAGTATTCAGGGGTGGGCAATTTAGAGGAGATTTTTCATGAGTCCTTAGCTGCAAAATATATAACCCCCCCCCAAAAAAATCCCCCAAATCCAACAACAAAAATACCTTATATAAGGTCAATATATAAAGACTGATCAAGGTAGCTAGAGAAGGAGTCTTATCTTTTAATGAATATGCTCACCACGTTGTAGAATGAATTTCCTTTTATTAAAGCTTAGCATCTAATTATTCTCTCCAACAATTATATTTTATTTGACTTAGGAAACACTTGCTTTTATAAAACCCTGTGAAAGGTGCATTTGTTGCACAACAGAGGGCAATATATTGGACCTGTGATTCTATGACATGGTATTTGATCAATATCTACTAGCCTGCTAAATTAGCTAATGATAAAAATAATTTGATCATTACCAAAATAATGATCTATGTACCTGACAACTGTTTTCTTCAGCCTGGGACCAAAGCACATGAAATTAATGTTTCAACTATTAACAATTAATTTTAAGAAAAACAAAATATAAAGGTTAGAACTAGACCTATGTGCTCCCTGATGTGATACAATAAAAAGTAATTTGTACATCTCTGGTGAATTCTTAGGAGAAAATATTTAACTTAAAAAATAATCAAACATATAGATTTTATTTCTAGTTAGCAGGAAATACAGAGGATAGAGCAAATTAATCAACCCACCATAAGGAGACAGATACAGAAGGCGAGTCATTCTAAGGATAAGTGGCTCAGTAGATTTTAACAAATCAATGTCATAGAAAGAGGGTGTGACAGCTGTTGTAGATTAACAGACTTAAGAGGTCTCATAAACAAGTGGAGTATGTAATCCTCATTCAAACAAAGCAGCTGTAGAAGACACTGGGGACAACAAGAAAATGTGAATACATATCAGGTATTAGATAATATTAAGAAATAGTTACTTTTGTTAAGTATGATAATGATAGTGCAGTTATATAGGAGCATGTTCTCTTTAGGGCTACAAACTGAAGAATTTTGGAATGAAATATCATGAAGCCTATAATTTATTTTTAAATGATTCAGTCATAAATAAATGAAAAGGGAAAAATATTAAACATTAACTCTAGGCTTTGGATATATGAGTCCATTATATTATTTTCTTTAAGTTTTAGAGTTTTCATGAAAAGGGATTTTTAAAAGAATATAAACTTTCTAAGCTACAAGTCCTAATATGAAAATCAGGATTAGATAAACAAGTAAAAGTTGGGAACAGATAAACACAGAAGCTAGTAGTTTTATTTTCATTCTGTCAATAAACCTATAATCTTCCATATTGTGGAGTAAGCTCAAAAAAAATTTCAAATAGCTTTGGGATTGTATTTTTTCTTCATCAGTTTGCATTAGTTTCTTTTCAAAGGGGAAAACATACTGGGTTTCCATTTTATTTTCGTTAAATGTTGTATCCTCATCACACAAAAACAGAAAGTAAAACATGGCAGGTATCCTAAAATCTTTCACAAAAGTGAATATGCTGTGTTAACATAAGTGTTCATCGTCATTCTGCCTACTGGAACACTTGAGCATGTCATTGGTGGTTTTACAATCTGAAAATAAGTGAACATTTTGGAGAAAAAACAGCCTGAATTTGTAGAACTTGTATTTAGTCCTATGCGGGAAGCTTTCTGATACTTGAGTTCAAGGCATTCAAACTGTGTTGTTACAGTTTTCAGCTTACGGACTGTTTTCCTGATGAAAGTTTGACATAGTTGCTCACTGTTTTTGTCATTGATATCATTTGGTCAGTGTGAGTTAGAAAGGAAGTTATTTGGGTATTGTCATGTGGGTTGTTTTCCTGATGTAACAGTAGCATGTAGGCTCTTCCAGAGGCAAGAAAACAGAAAGGTTTATGAACGAGGTGTGAAATCACACAATTTATTATGACAATTGAGAACACACAGCAAGGAAGGTGTGGCAGTTAAGATGGAATTTCAACTTGATTGGCTTTGAGATCCACCCCCGGGATTGGTGGAGCACATTTCTAGGTGCGCATGGGAGGGGGGAGTGTGGAAAGGTATGGCTTTGGGGGTCTATATGTGGTCCCTCACCCCTTCTGCTCTGACTCTCTTCCCCTGCTCTGCTTTCCTGTTGTCCTGATCAAAGCAGCTTTGCTGTACAATGCCTTCGGTCCTGATGTTCTGTCTTGGAGCCAGCAGATCAGGAACTGAAACCATGAACAAATTAAATGTCTCCTCTTAAATTGTGGGTGTTAGGTGTTATGTTTCAGCAATTGGAAAGCTGACTATAAAGAGGGCAAAGGAAAGAGGCTAGGTTCACATAATTAAGATGGGGCAAAAGGACTGTATTCCCTGAGTCCTGGGGTAAATAATAGTCCTATCTCCCCCTCCTGTGTCTTTCCCTGATATGAGACCAGAGCTGAAGTTCAAGTAAAGAGGACCACAGACAGAGTGGCCCAAGTTATGGCATACTAGATCTACTGGAGAGACACAAGGTCAAATGCACCTGACCACACCTGTAGCTCACTAATAAGCCTGCTGAATAGTTATTGATTTTATATGTATTTTCTAGATAGAGAGTATTGTATATGTGGGGCCAGAATGGGACTATACTCAACAAAGGATGATTGATTTAGGAAATGACATAACTGTCAGGTTCTTACAATTATGATTTGGTCCTTCCTTTCTATCTCTCAGTAGACTCAAGTTTTCCCATGCTGAATTGTGTTTATTCTAACTCTACCATATCTTACAGGTTACTAAATTACTATATATTTACTTTATTTTTGGAGTTCTGCCTATGTCTTTGAAGTGATATGCTTACTCATTATCTGTAGTTAACATAATCATGAGTTTTGTTACTATAATTAAACCAGTTCCTTATTACTATTTATGCTTGATACTATTAAACTGAGTTAAGTTTATCCTAAACCTGTCTCCTTACTTGGGTGATAAAGTTTGGCCCAAAGCATCGTCTGTACATGAATTTTGCCCTTGCTTAATATGGCAAGCGGTTGTAAAATAGGAATATACGCTTGTAACCAAGCAACTGGGTCTCAGCCAATCAGAATAGCCAAAACTTCAGCTAATGCTAGGCCAAAAGCTGTCAAATTATGATCATGAAAGAAACACTGACTGCAGCCAATCAGGTTGTTTCTGTAAGTCACTTTTCTCTGGCTGTAAATGAACCTGCACATGTAGTGGAGTAGGCCCATTCTGAACCATATTTGTTCCAAAATGCTACCCATTTCTAGAATCTTTTTCCTATTTAATTTCATTTATCTTACATGTTTCTTTTACATTGCTAATTAGTTTCAGCCATTCTGCTTGTTTTACTGTGGGATCCCTGGTGGACGCCTAAACTCATGTGAACATAAATACCCATTTCTATGGAGACAGGAGATTCAACCTTTTTATCAGCCATACATTTCATGCAATTATAATGAAGATTAATAAGGTAGAATATGTAAAAATAAAGCAACTAAAACAGTCCTTTCTTTTTTCATATTGGTGAAAAAGTTGTGAATGTAGAGGGTGTTACATTTCTCACTTTACATTCAGTAATAATTGTCATCATGACAACGATGTCTTACATTGTACCAAACTGTACTGTTAAACTGCTCTGAGTTAAACTATACTGGTTGGTGCTTAAAGGAACCATGTATGGTAAACTACAGAAGGTAATTATGCCACTTAACAACAAGGACATAAACAGAGGTGGCTATGTGACATTATCCTAGGAGCAGCATGTGTTAGCTTCACAATACTGACCAAGTCCTTCCAAATAAATATGATCAGTACAAAGAAAACTAACTCACAGCTGAGTCTTACAATCTAGAACTTTATTTTTATTCCAAGCACTCAAGGTAGTCAGGCCATCTTGGATGGTGGGTTTATAGCCAGATGTCCCTCCAAACCCTCGTGTGCTCAAAAGTGGGCTTTTGAAAGGTGATTGGATTATGGGGATGGTATAGCTGACTTACTATTAGAAGTTGAAGCCTGGTTGGAAGAGATGGGTCACTGAGTGCATAGCCTGGAAGTGTTTCTCCATCCAGGATTCCCTCTTCTCTCTCTATCTTCTGGCCTTATGATATGAGCATCTTCTCCTCAGCCATACCTCTATGCCATGCTGTTTCTTCTTTAGAACTGGCTGACCATGGACTGAAACATGGGGTCAAATAACTTTTTTCCCTTTAAGTTGTGAATGTCATGTATTTTGTCCTAGGGACCAGGAAAGTGTCCAAGATAGTGGGATATTATCTGGCCCAACATGATTTTCAGTCAATATTACCGTACAAGCTCCTGACAGGCTATGTGTTCCATTAATGGAGAGATCAAATCTCTTGAATTTACAATTTTACCCTCAGTACCTTGCATGATGCTTGGGACATTGTTAATATTAAAAGGGGATTTTGTTTATTAATTGATGAACCAATGAATAAAACAAAATAAAACTTGAGGTGCAATGCAAGATTTTTTCTTTTTTAAACATACCTGGCAAGTCAACACAGTAACTAAGCTATTTCATAGTCAGGTTTCTAGCATTTATTTATCCTCAGACTCAGGCTTCCTTTTCACTATCTTCTGTGTTGAGAAGGATCTCCTATAGTTGTCCTAGTACCCAGTGATAGCAGTTTTTGTCTAGGACTGATATTTCCTGCCACGAACTGAAAAGTGTTGAGAGACAGTGATGAGTGACATCTCATGTCATAAATACAAAGGAGCTTTAGAGAGAGACTATGAAGTACACAATGGTGTTCTAAACCAAGATGGAAACAATATCTTGATCTCAATTTGGAAGTTTACTTTCCTGAATAGCTACCAAATGTCATAAAAATTCAAAAATAAAGCTTATTATGTTTTCCCCATTTCCCAAGATATATACTATGGCTGGACCAGGACATATATTTGATTTTTCAAAATGTCATTCTCACCTCAAATTCTCTTCTCTGTCCAAACTTGTTGGAGACTTGACTCTTCTCCTTGGCAAAAGTTTTTTGTTCTGACTCAATTCTCTCTCTTATAAATGAACTTCAGGCACCTAGTTTTCCTCCAGTTTCTTAAGCTGAAATCTTCATTGTGGGGATAGCAGAGGTCCTGTCCTTTTATTCCTTCCTCTCTTTCCCACCTATAAACAAAACAGCAATTTGGAACAGTTTGGTAGGAGTGTGAATTGATATAGCTCTTTTGGAAACTATTTGGCAGAATCTATGACCCAGAAATTCTGCTCACAGGTATATCCACAAAAGAAATGCAAACATCTATTCACCAAAGAACATATAAAAGGATATTATAATGTTATTTGTAATATTCCCAAATAGAAAACTACCAATACCTACTTCAACAGTAAAATCGTGCTGTGCTTGAACAATAGAATATTATATAGCAAGGAGAATAAGTAATTTACAACTACACACAAAAATAAAGATAATTTTCACAAATTTTTGAGTGAAAGAAGCAAGGCACACAAATAATAAATATAAAGTTCAAAAAGTAGAAGAGGACTGGGGATTTAGCTCAGTGGTTCTACCGCCTGCCCCGCAAGCACAAGGTCCCGAGTTCGATCCCCGGTACCAAAAAAAAGTAGAAGAAAAGTAATCTTTGTGGTTAGCAGTTAGAATATGGAGCAGTGACTGAAAGGGACACTTCTGTCCTTTTGAGGCTTCTAGGATTCTGATAATATTTTCTTTTTCTGAGAGCTGAGAAATACCACTTACACAGGTGTGTTTAGGTTTTTAAAAAATTTTTAGGATATACATTATGATTTGAATACTTTTTGTATGCATGTCATACTTCAGTGAAATGTTTAAAAAGATAAAAGCAAAAAATGAAAATACATTTTATTCTGAATCAGATGATATTATAGGACAGTGGATATACCATAAAATGAATAATAAATAACATTGAATGATGGAAGTGATGAAGTGAGAGCCATAACTTTTTACATTTAAATTTGAGGTGAATTATCTTCTACCTCGACAAATTATAAAATTCTTTTCTACTGCTCCTTATCTGACATCCTCTTTCTACTTCTCCACTGACACTGGGTATGAGTGTTTGTATCAACTGGGCTATCTTGAAGAAATCAAATAGTGACAAATGCTGGACAGGCTGCAGGGAGAAAAGGAATCCTTCATTGTTGGTGGGAGTGTAAACAAGTACTAGAGAAATTACTATGGAAATTCCTAAAAAAAAAAAACCTAAAAATTCCATTTGACCTAGCTATTCTCCTTCTAGATATCTTCCTGAAAGAGTTGAAGACATGATATTACAGTGGTATATGCATATCCATATTTATAGCAGCACAATTCATAATAGTTAAATGTTGGAAGTGGCCTACATGTCCATCAACAAATGACCAGATAAAGAAAATGTATTTACACACAATGGGGTACTACTCTATCACAAAGAAAGATAAACTTGATTCATTTGCAGGGGCAGATATAACTGAACACAAAATAGCCCTCCACACATAGCTTATGAAGTTTCCAGATGCCAACAGAAAGAGAGAGTGTAAATGTACATGTCTTAGTTATCTTCCTCATCACTGAGACATAATATCTGATAGCCACAAGTTAAATTAAGAAGGCTTATTTTGATTCATAGTTTATAGAGGTTTCAGTCCATTGTTGGCTGACTTCAAGGCGGGGCAGGATGGCAGAGGAGAAACGGTTCATGGCATGGTGGTGGGAAGGAGAGAGAGGAGAGAAAGAGAGAAATTGAGAGGTTGAGAGTGAGGGAGGAGGGTAGGGAACTAGATCCTTACAGGCTATGGCTACACTGACCTGCTTCTTCTGACAAGACCCCACTTCCCAACAGCAAGTCATATAAGCCTCTATAGTCCAATCACTTTCCAAAAGCTCTGCCCATGAGTGTATGAGGATCCCAGGGAGCATCTATATATAAACTGTAATAGTACATCTGTTTCCAGTGAATACAATAATCTGCTAGCATTCCTTTGGTATTATTGAATGGGTTAACTAATGATGCTTTATTTCTCCTCAGATCACTTCCTACCCACCCCAAATCCATGTATTTCCTGTTCCAAAACAAGTTGAGTGACTTCAACATGTCTCATTGGACAAACCACTCTAGCAGGCTCTATTTAACAGAAGTCTTTTCAGCTGGAACAAAGCCTTTTGTAGATTATACCTCTGGTAGGCCCTATTTTTAGCCTCAACCTTAACTTTGGGCCACCATTCTCTGCCTTTGCTCTAAAAAGGAGAAACTACTATTGCAATAAATTATGGGGCTGGCACATCACCTGATTCTGAAGTGATTACAGAATTTATCTTTTCTAATCTATCTAATCTTGAGAAATTACAAAAAATCACAACTGAGGAATAAGACTTATGGTCAATATTTTGCAGAATGTTTTTAAGTACTTTTTGCAGATTATTGGTAAATTACTCCAATTTTATCTTTATTCTAAATAATAACATTTATGCAATCCTCATGTTTATTCAGTGAATATTATAGTGTTTTCAATATGCCAGCCATCATACTAGGCACCAAGTTACACTAATGTAAGTGGCATATGTAGACTATGTTATTGTGTTCTCATGAAATTTAGACTCTGATAAGAAAGACAGACAATAATCCACCAATTAGACAATCCCACTTCAAAATTATAATTGTGACAAATGGCATGAAAGAGAATATATAAATTTGATCAGGCTTCTGAGCATCTAAAGACCAAACACTGTGCAAACCAACAAAATATTGAATTATTGATATATTCTTAACTTTCTTTTTTTTTTTCAAGTGTCTTGGCTTTCTCGAAGTGGTTAACAGGTCCTATACCTACATTATTTTATTTACCATTTTGTCTCACAGGAGAACATAGCACTGCATTTTTCTAGTTTGTTACTCTCAACAGCACAATGACTATCAGTCTTATTAAATGACTCAACGAAACCTTTATTGCTGCCTATAGTGGCAGAATGAATTATCGACAGGGTTAATATCCCAAATAATTTAGCCTTTCTGCAACTTACAGCAGTAAGTTTCTCAAGTGTGTATTTACTACAAAGCCCTCCCTTTTTGGCTTTCATAAAAACTGTAGGGGACATTTGTTACCTTGCCCTGTAACCCTTTGTAGTGTTAAATAGCAATAGTTTAATGTCATAAAACATAGCATGGAAGACTGCTGAAACTTGAATATAATCAATTTGCTCCAATTCTAGTATAGATGAAAACTTATTGTTAAATCACCTTTTTAAGAGTTGCTTTGGTTATTTAATATTGATCTCAAAATGATTAAGAAGTGGAATGGTATTGATTTTTAAAGGAAAAAGAGTTCTTATAAAAAGAAGAAGAATGCAAAAATTTCAGGTTATAGAAGTGGATTTTAATGGTCTTCATTAGCTCCTAAAGTTGGATTTGAAACCTATACAATTCTGCTTAATTTGGAATTTTTAACAAGGTAAAAAGTCCAGACTGTTAACTGTGGAACAAGAGACACGTATATAAATGCTGGTAATGCACCAGTTTGAAAACATGTAATACAGCTACATTTGACTATGGGTACCAAGGATTTAAGTCAAAAATCACTGTCTTATCACTGAATCTTAGAAAACTGCTTAGAGGAGGGCCCTGGAAGGGTGCACAATGACTCCCATGAGTCCGTGTTTCCTGAATTATTTTCTGGTCATGCTCATGTCCTGGTTTTCCTTGACCTAGAGTTGGTACATAACCCTCCTTAATGCTTTAAAGCCATTTCATATTTCTTAGGGAGAAAGATCAAAGAACTTGTAGGCTACAGTGTAGCTAAGTCATAGGGTGCTTGTCTAGCATGCACAAAACCCTGGGTTTGAAATAGGAGATAAGGGCATGCAAACCTGGCTGAGGAAGTAGGCGTGATGTGTTAATTATGAGATCCCAGAACACGTGCACAGAATTTAAATAGTTTTTTAATAGGATGCGCTATGGTCTAGACATGACATCAGCCTGAGGCAGGAGATCCCAGCACCACCTCTCAGGACCTGTATGTAGAAGTTCTCCTGGGTTTTCTTAAGATTTGGACAGTGTGAAAGGACACAGGTGCCAAAAAGGGCTTGCTATTGTGGCTTTCCTCATGACCGTCTGCCCTGTGTCCATGGTGTGCTTCATCTTGCTTTTTTCTCTTTTACTTAGCCCAAGCTTGCTCTACAGAACCAGTTTTTCGTTGATTCTTCACTTTTACTTTTTCAAATAAACTTTGCCATTGCTTTTTTCTTGTTTAATTCAAGTCTTTGTTCTAGCTGAGAAGAACCTGGAATCTAACTCCAGAAGGAGAGGCGTGCAACCCAAAACACAGTAACATTTATTTAGCAAGCCACTTTTAAAAGGAGCTACCACAAAACAGGTTGAATTCCCTGCACTACAAAAACAAGCATAAACATTGGGTTTACTCCCCGTGAACTAATATGAAAATATTTTTTCTTGTCCATTCTTACCTACAATCTTCCATCTCCTTAGGAACGGATTTTGAAAAACTGCCTAACTCTAGCCAGGTACTTAAATTCTTACCCTTGACTAGTCCCCTAACTTGTAACAAATTCTACAGCTACCCTACCAAGAAAAATAAAAGAACTTATACAAAAATTGGTCTCATGATTTTAAATTGGTCTCATGATTTTATTCAACTCCCATTTTTTGTATGATTCTTTAGTTCTCAGCATAATTTTCTTCCAAAGCAGCCAGTGGTTTAAAAAAAGAATCATTGTTTGCCACATACTGCTACATTTCAATACCAATGGTAAATGCCACCAGTAGAAATTTAGTCTAAATTTTAAATTCTCACCTTTCTTAAATTACATCTTCTCTGTAAAGGTACATGCATTGATATGCCATCTATACACAACTTGCTTTATGAAGACGGGTGACTATAAATAAGAAAAAGAGAGAAAGTCAGAAAAGTAAAAGTGGAATATTAATTTTACAATTTAATTGTACTTAATTTATATAGAAGATATGAATTAAAGCTTTATTCTTCACCCGAGGCAAATAATATTTACATCATATCTTTGAGACTTGTGTTGTTAAGTATAAGAGGTTTGAAAGAGAAAAGTAAGTCTCTGGAGGCTTTGTTTCTCTGTTGATGATGAAACTGGCTATACTCAATGTTGTAGTTTCAAAGGATGACAGCAGTGGTAATCTTTGCAATTGCTAATTAACATTCCTTCACCAGATCTAATATAATGGTTCCTGGTTATTACCAGTTTAAATGATGTGTGTTTTACTATCAAAGAGATTTTCTTAAATTCTTCAAGTTTAAAAGTTAAGTACACACCCCGCTGCAGACAGGCAGGTCTGTGCACGCCCTACCCAGGTCCCAAGTCGTGCGGAAGATGCCGAATCACCCCGCTGCAGACAGGCAGCCACCTGGTTCCACACTACAAAGACACAGAGGACACCAGACCACCAGACCAAGGTACTGAGTCTCGCTGCTCCCG